GAGGATACGGTACTACCTTATTTCGTGCGATGCACTCAAACACCGCTCTTAAACGAGCGATGTGGTTTGCTTCATCCGTCTTCCCGTGCCCCGCACGACTGTGGACAAAGAAGTTGTCGATGTATGTTTATGCATACGCCCGGTGGGGCCTGAACAGTTGCATCACAAGACGATTAAATGTTGCTGGTACATTTGACAGCCCTTAAGACATCACCAGCCACTCCCAGAGCATGCAACTCAGAGTACTCACCGCTGTCAGCGGTATATCACTCGCTCTATTGAGCAATAAATAATCCCCATCGACCAAGTCGAGTGCACCGTACATGGACAGCGACCATATTGCTCTTGGGAATTGTTCCAAGGTAACAGTTTTTTGCCGGAATGGTGGCAGCGTTTAGCTTATTGTAAGCGTGAACGATGCGCCACTTGCCGCTCGGCTTCTGGACACAAAACGTGGGTGCCGAATGTTTAAACTCGCTCTCACGCACCATTCCGGTATCGTACTTCACACAGCGCACAGAAGAAAGCGTCAATTATGACACACTGCTCCTTGCGCAGGGTTCATTGGCGTGTTACGCAGTATTTGGTTCCCGAAACGAGGTCGAACTCATGACGCATACCTTGGTCCGGGGGTAGGACTGACAGAGGGTCTTTGGAGATAATGTCTTGAAATTTCGTTATCAAAGAAGAGTACGGATATGAGGGTCCTTCAAGATCGACGATCCACTTCGTGCGTTCAGCACCCACATGGTCTCCATTAGGACAGCTGCATCCAGTAGCAACAACGAGTTAATCTCCTCGCTCGGTTGTATAATGACCACCTCGGCTTAATCGTCTGGCTTTAAGGCACCGCCAAACTCTTCTAAGGGCATCTTGTCCAGCTCAAGAAGAACATTCACCGTAGGAATAGCCTCGAGGGTGACGTCGCCGTGTACACCCCCGTCATTGTTGACGAGGGTGTATAGCTGTGCGCTATCGTCAGTGTCGACGCCCTGCGTCTTGCAGATAATATACGGCGTCGCCGTTGTCTCTCCCCGCAGGTCTCACGCCTCAGTGGGAGCACGCAATAGCGTTGTTCGGTGCCCCCACTTCTTGCTCCATTTATGAGCGACATCAGACGAAGAGCTGCCATTTTCGTAGTCTTCGTCCGTTGGATAATGTGCCACCTCATATGCATCAAATGGGCCTTGACCAAGATGCCACGGACCTTGTCCGACCATGCCACTCTGGGCATTCAGCAACTGCTTCGAAACGTGAGCGGTGCTCAGTGGATTACGTGCCACTCCACGTTCACCCCGCGAGCCATGATCGGGACTCCTTTTCAATGCACCTTCGGTGTAGGGCAACTCGGATACTCCGATATCCAGCACATTGATCTTTCCGGTCCAGTGCCCGCGCCGAGATCGTATCTGCTTCCTAGCAGCGGCGGGTTCATGACACACTAAAGCTCCACCATGGGACGTGCGCGTAGCCCAAGGTCTTCGACCTCCAAAGGATCTATGGCTCATGACGCTCCAACATGACATACCGAGATAAGGTCATACGTTGAATTGAGGTCTAACGTAAGCGCGTTTCATGCTATCGAAGTCAAGAAACTTTACATCGAGCTCCACAGGGACCCTCGGCACCGTGACACAAGTCTTTGTCGCTAAGCGAACAGTGACGGTGTCACTCAACCGCGCTTTCAGCGCCTCAGTATACAGCTGACTTCCTTCAATCGTAAGGCGTCGTGCAACTATTTTCGACGCCTCGGAATCGATAAGGATCTTCCTCAAAGCCCTTCACGGTCGTTTTACGATCAGCAAACCCGACTTGCATACACGTTCCGTGTTCAAGAGCACGAAACTCTTCGGGGCTGGGCACTGCTGCCCTCTACCTCTTTGAGGCTCAACAGAACCCAGTTCTCCCCCAGTAGGACGCCCCGCGTCTATGAATTATTCTTGTTTCCCGCGACAAACCAGACTTGTAAGAAGCGGGCGTCAGTTTGATAAACCTTGACGCGTCTTGCGCAGCGAACAACCAGTTCGGATAATGACGGGTGTCTCCGCAGACAAAACACCGTCGGGCATTCGAACGCTGCAAGGCAGCTCGAAGCTCTCTCCCCTCTTTCTCAGCATAGATGAGATCCATTGGCTCAGATTCGCTCGACGAGCTTTGAGGATGTGCATTTCAACCAAGTCGTGCCGACTTTAATTTGAATTCAGCGTTCAATGCCACATTCACCGTTTCTTCAAAAGAGAACGTATGCACACGGAGGACTTCTAATCTAGCCACGCCAGTACGGAGGACTCCCATAAAGACGGTCACTGTGACCGCCTCGGGGAAAGTATCGGCCGCCATCCCGGCAATGAGAATACTCAACTCTTGATCAAAGTCCACCAATTTATTCTTGCCCTGTCGGGCGGCAAGAAAACGCGATCGCAAGCGGTATGCCTGATAGGCGGCAAGAAAACTCGTGAAAGCTGCAGCTTCAGCTCTGTCCAGGAGGGAGACGCCGCTTCAACCGAAGTACCGCACGTCAGTGCCCGTTCTCGCGTTCGACCACCGAGCTTGGAGATAGCTAGCGTCACGCGCTGTTGCTCATTCTGGAGCCTGGCGGACGTAACAGCCATCTCGGCCTCTCTCACCCAGAGCAGAAAATTTTCTCCATCCTTACCCTCAATGATATGAACGCTCACCACGAGCGCCCTGGTTCGGGAAGAGTAATCTACCGTCGACGGTGATCGTTACACGGAGCGATGCGAACCATTTTGCTGAGTCTGTCAACAAAGACGAGCACCCCGTTGTGGCCGTCAGCATTCTTGAGGAAGCTTAAAATTAGTCGAGACCGACTGAATTTCAATAGTAAGCCGAAACAGATGACTGTGCAGTGGCACTTGTGTGTGCCGAACGCTCTCCACGCGCTGACAGACATCGCATGTCTTCACGTATCGTGCCACCCACTTGTACATGTGGGACCATCAAAATTTGGGCACTGAGAGACTAATGGGTTCTCTCAAGGCCAAAGTGACCGGCCATCGGCGTTTCATGCGCCTCGTCTACTATTGTTGTCGGGAAACACAAACCGTGGCTCGTCATCAAGTGTAACTTCATAGCGATGGAGACCGTCTTTTCACGTATAACGATGCAACCTTGGTTTCAAGCGATCACGGAACTTGTCATACAATTTAATGGAATAGTTTTTGATCCATTGATGTACCAACATTTGTCATTCGTGGATTGCATGAATTTGAATCTTACTCGTCGGTGACTTTGCCTGTGTTCGAGCACTATTCGTATGATATCCAGTCTGAATCATCATCCTGTTACGATTCTTGCCAAAATTCATTTGACGTCGAGGCATTCGTACCCCATGACACTGTCGAGTTAGTATTATTCTAATTTTAATTCATTTGATTTAAAGTTCAAGAAATTGTATTTGCTTTGGCATCAGAGGAAAGGTGAAGTGACATTTATAATTATAGCCAGTAGGCTTTTAACCTCCCTGACCTATCAAGTGCCCCAAGTTCTGATACAACAGAACCGGAAGGGGATATAAAGCTGTACAAGGTGTATAGTGAGTGTTGAACACACAAAGAATGTGGTCCACACAATCTGTGTCATGGATCACGCCGTTCCTTTTTACGTCCTGCTGAAAGCGAGCAATGCACAGTGAGGCATGTCAATTAAGCTGAACCTTCGACAAAAGTGTGTGTTCACGGACGGACAATTCTCGTAATAGTGGTAGTACTAGTTGCGCCGACAACTTTGATGGAGTAATTCTCCTCTCTTGTGCACCGACTGCCTCGCGTTGAGGATTATCGTGCTCTGTCGGAGCGGCACCTAGCCTTCGAGCAAGCAAATACGTCACTCCGTGCGACAGTGGAGCACCTTGCGCCGTTGAAAATGGAAATTGCTGCACTCCGTACTCAGAACCAGCTGCTGGTTCAACTTCCGGGTGGCCGAGCGCCTTTGAGCGCCGCCTCGACGCCAACGCTTCCGCGTTCACTTGCGCTGAATCTCGGTACGGCTTAAGCAAGCCCACATAAAACACTGGGTGGGTGCGCATCCTTCTCGGAAGTTTCAGCGAATACGCAAGGCCTCGCTTGGCCACGATATCAACAGTTTCAGTAAACCGTGGACGAAGGGACTTTGACCCTGTCAAAAGCCTCCCGATGCTCGGTGTCATAACACCACTTCGTATCCTTCTTAAGGAGATTCAAAAATAACCGTGCCAATTCCGCGTAGTTTGCGCTATAGTTGTGCAAGTAAATGGCGAGGCCAAGCTACTTGCGCTTGTCCTTTTGGTTCTTTGGAACCGGCCAGTTCACAAGGCTTTGGCCTTAGCGGGATCCGCTCGAAGGCCACGCTACCCAATCGAGCACCCCAAAAATGGATTTCTTCCGCGCCGAAGATACACTTATCGGCATTAGCATACAGCTAATTCGTGCGCATGCACTCAAGCACATTCTCAAATAGACGATGTGGTTCTCCACATCTGTCCTCCCGTGCCGCACGACTGCGGACGAACATGTCGTCGAAGTATGTATGTGCATACTCCCGGTGGAGCTAAACAATCGTGTCAAGAAGATTAGATGTTGCTGGCGCATTGGACAGCCCTTGGGACATCACCAGCCACTCCCAGAGTACTCACCACTGTCAGCGGAATATCACTCGCTCTCATGAGCAATTGGTAATAACAGTCGCCCAGGTCGAGTGCGCTGTACTTTGTACAGCCAGCCATATTGTTCTGGAGAACATCCTTTCTAGGAGTCGGCGTCTGTGCCGGAATTGTGGCAGCATTTAGCTTATTGTAAGCGTGGAAAATACGCCACTTGCCATTCGGCTTCCGGACATAAACAGTGGGTGTCAAATGGGGAGACATATTCTCACGCACCATTCCTGCGTCGTGCCGTTGTGGTGGCCTGTACTGAATACAAAGATATAAATTATATTACTAATTAGCAAAAGTTTGGCTCGCACTCTACACCTTTTTGCAACTAGGCTATAGCTCTGAGCCGATGGACGTGAATGTGTGTGAGATAGATACGTTATATTTGTTAAAATTTCATTCGGACATTATGAAAACTGTGCAGAAAGCCAAAATAGCATGTATTTATGTGGGGATGCACAGAAGAGAGTCTTGAGTGCTTACATGTGGGTAAAGACGCAGCTATCAGTGCTATCACGCTTCCAATAACACTTCCAAGTCCAATCGTGAAAGCTACTCCCACGACATGCCTCTCGCTGTATCAGCGTATGGCAAAGTCTGCTACTACATCGGCCTACCATTGATACAGCACATTCAAATGAAATGTGAAAATCAATTGCTATTTGCTCCGCTCGTTTTATTTATATGACACAAGCTCGCAGCTCATGTTGCTGTTTTGTATCCATTTTGTATTATTTTCTCAAATGCGTGACCAACCCTCCTATTTCCGTTCTCTATCGTTTCGACTCTTTAAAGTCCTAATAACCTTATGGAAGATTATTCGAAATTTATTGTTGATCAATACATCACTTAGTCAACCCATCAGGTGGTATCGCGACCAGCACATGGCGGTGCTACTTCGGGCAACGTGTGCTCTTTCAT